TTTTATTGACTTACTTGTTTTTTCCCTCGGCTCGACTCGAGTAATTTATTTATGTATAATTGCTCTTCTCCCTAGGATCGGAGTTTGATGTTAAACAGTCTTTAACCTTCCTGAATAAAAAGAATGTAAAAAAATGTCTTTTGCCCCACAAGTAACAGCAGTATTTATTCTCTGTGGTCTACTGTTTTCACCAGTCTTATGCCCGATTTCAACAACAACCCATAAGCTACCACCTACGTATGGGATCCCTAGCTTAAAAGTCCCCTAAACTAGCCCCTAAATTAAATTTCATTTTACGATCGTCTTTAAGCCCATATTTCGGGCACCTAAATTTAGAGGGTCTTTTAATATTTAGGTGACCCCTAACTGTCGGTGAAACAGAAACTGTGCCCTAACAGCCTCCTAACCATGCTTAGGGGATCCCTTAAACTTTGGTGACGTTGGTGAAATCGGGCATTATTCTTGTTTTCCTTCATTCAGTTTCTTGTCTTTTAGCTACCGAATATTATTGAAAGTCTTCACATATCGTACATACTAAATGTAGTGTTTTCTGGCTTTAAAATGTTTTTGTAAATTACATTATTTTAATATAACTTGGTAAGTCTTTGAAATTAATATTGTTTTTACCAAAATATTTCTTTAAATGTGAACACAGAATGGCGCGCCGTCGGTCACTGTGAAACTCATCGCGTTGTCAGATGTTGCGCGAGTTATTGAATAAGGGGTAGCTGTTTCTTAATTATTATACCTTTTTAAACATATTTAGCATGCACACATTGCCTTGGCGCACACTTGACCAATATCGTTAATGATAAATGTCTCTACGTTATATGAGTTTGCTTACAAGTAACAAACACTGATGACTATTGAACTCAAAATATTAATATTTGAATGACACTGCTCCACCTTTTTTCAATCTACCGCATCAAATCCATCGGTGTCAAAAGGGGAACAAGTGAGTAACGATTGTTAAAACAATAACAAAAGTCCCTCCGTTACAAGGCGACAAAAGTTTAATATCAATAGAATACAATGGAAACAATAGTTGCCCTCTGTCAATTATACCATCATTACCATTCGAATAAACGGTCTAATGGATCAGATGATTCTCAAAATATGTAAGACAACGTCGTGTATTGACGTAGTGATTTAATATGTGATAGAATTTAATATATATTCTAGTTCTTGCTCGTACTTCCAGTCGTATGGAAAGTTCGTCTTTAAAATATAGCTTTTATGTTAATACAGAATCCGTTAAACTGTTATGAACGAGGAGGTAACATACACTTAAACACTCCTTAGAACTGAAGCCTTATATTTTAAATGTTATTTCACTGTATGTTTGTGTTTCAGAGAATCGAGCTCTTTTTCGCTTAAAGTTTCGCTGGGAGTGCGCCAAATTTTAGCTTTATATATATTATATATATATAGCCTAATTGTACTAGTTGTCAGGGCTGATTTGTTCAATTTTTTAATTTTATTTTAAAATAATCTAACATTTCTAACCGTACGCAGAATTTTCTTTTTTTAACTAAACAGTAGATAAGTAAAGAGTAAAGACAATTTAGATCTGTATTTCATAGTAAATTTGGTTTCAACTGAGGCTGTTGTTCAATTGAAATATAATACTTAGACACGGCGTTGACTCACCAATCGTGGTTATGTATCGTGTCAATAGATTTTATGAGATGTATTTTGGCGCCTGAAGGACTTAGTTTTATTAGATTGCAGTAAAATATTATATCAATTTTGGTCAGTTTCGAGATCGTTCCATTAAATTTACTGATCTGCACTTGTTAGTAAATCAAAACAAAAATATTTAGCATATTTTAATACGTATATTACTGGACTTATTATGTTACCAATTATTTTAACTAAATCGTTAAAAATAACGTGTTAACACATTTCAGTTACATATCGTCATTTCCTAATTAATTTATTCGAATATAACTGTAATTATTCCTAGCGGGTGGTGGCTTCTTTTTCATATTTGCAAATGTTAAGTGGTGAGTTATAAAAATGACAAATTTACTTTTATCGTTGAACACGACACATGCAAGTAATGCTCTGTCGTGTCGTATGTTTGTGTCAGCGGGTAATCAGCGATTTATTAAAGAGTATTGTTGATAATTTTATTATCGTTCTCGTCCTGATTTGTTATGTGTCTTGTAAGTGTCCGCGGGGTAATCATTGCAATTAATATCGTAGGACTATAAATAACATACTGACATGTTTTTTATTTATTTATTGTAGTCTAGCCTTCCTTTTATTTTTAGTATTTATTACATGTTATTGTGCGTAATTTTTGTTATGATACTTTTTATAAATACAATTTTTTTTGTAATATAATGTTTTATTTACGTTTTAGAAAAAAAAACCTTTTAAAAATCACATATCTATTTAAATGACAACACTTTTAGGGATGATTTATCAACATTCTTCCAAAGAATACATACGGAAGGAAAACCTTTAAATCCATCCTTTATTTCCTCTAGATTTCATAAAATATACCAGTCTGGGCTAAACACTGTCTGTTAGTTGTCATTTCATTTTTCATTTTTATATTTTATATATTTAGATATACATAAATAATTATGTAGCGTGTTGTTTTATATCTATGTATATTGTATAATTATAATTTATTTCGATTTCTCACGATAGGTTGCGGACTGCCCGAGGCTTATGTGATTATTTTTGTAAGAAGCTCGTAGGATATTTTATGATATTTTTCATAAAAATTAAATAAAACATATTTATTATATATTTGAAGGTGCATGGCGTACAAAATTAGTAATCTGAATCAATTGGAAATAGTCCAGCTGACAACTACTTTACTATAAATCTTTCTATCTTTCACCAAGTTCACTATTAATTATTAATTATTAGTTTCACTATTAATTGATAAGCCCGGTGTATTGTTCGTGTACTTGTCCTGTGCTTATTGTAATATTCGCTCATTTATTCAGAATTATATTGCAATATGAAAAGAGCTATTAAAGTACAACTGAATGAAGAGGCTTGCTTTAAATGGGTTATGCTTATTACGTAAATCATAAACTTTCCAGCAATAGTTGCTCATGGGACCCAAACAATGACTGATTGGTTTAAATGTTCACAGTTATTAAAAAAAACAACAACATCAAAACTTAGTTTTCTGCATTATATTGTATTTCTGCATAATATAGTTATAATATACTAGCAGAACCCGCGGCTTCGCTCGCGCTAAAACTACAAAAAACTCTAATAAAAAGGTAGGTTTCATACAAACTTTCATCCCCTATTTTACCCTCTTAGGGGTGGAATTTTAGAAAGAGCTGAAAAATGTAACTCATTATTTTTGCCGTATTCAATTCATATGAAATTTCATGCAAATATGTCCAGGGAATAAAAAGTTTCATACAAGCTTTTATCCCCTATTTCACCTCCCTGGAGGTTGAATTTTGAAAAATCCTTCCTTAGAGGATACCTTCGTCATATATATGAGGAATACGTGTGCGAAATTTCCATTTTCTAGCCTTAAGAGTTTGGCCTATGCGTTGATACATCAGTCAATCACTTTTGCTTTTTATATATATATATATATATAGATATTTGTGAAAGTAAATATAAATTAATATTTAATTTATATTTATTTTAATATTACATGTGTGGTAGTGAGCTAATCTTATTTTTACTCTATTTCAGTTATTATTAACAAGCAAATCTCGAATAAGTATATTTTTATTCATTTTCGACCTCAAAATGTCACTTAATATGCAGTCAGTAAATTGAAATCCCTCACAAGATGTTGCAGGACTTAATTTCTTACGAACATATACAGTTACGGTTGTCATATTGGCCCTTTATTTTATGTATACGAGTATGTTTAATATTACTTATTACTCTGCAGTACTTTGTAATGTCACAGCTAACGATGTTAGTATTAATTATTTATTTTGAAATAAAATATATTTTTTAATATAGAGACGAATAAATTTATTTATAATTGAACTGTAATTGTACGTAATGTTGCATTTTAATTGATTTTCATTTTGTATGTCCCGTTGGTTTGTTCCATATAAAAACGTGAGTAATAACTCCTCTTTGCTTATTACCAACATCATATTAATTTAAATCCAGAAATTTTAATCAAACGTAATCCCAATTTAAAATCAATCGCAAAATTTATATGCAATTTACAATGTATCTTTCAAAAAGCTCACACTTGTAGGCCACCAGCGTATCCAAATTGAAAATTAACCCCCTTAAAACACGCCTCCTGGCGGTCAGCATTTTTTATTTGATAATCTTTTTCAATCTTGTCAACACGGCACATAAAATATTGCCACCATAACAACCTATTATTAGGTACCTGACATTTTATTTAAGACGATTTTGGTCGAAATTGAAAACTTAACCAAAAATTTTTGCCTGCGGTGCATCAGAGATGAGTTTTTGAATTTATGGTCGCCTTTTTAGGAAAAATTATAGTTATTTAAAATTCTAAAATTTAATTCATGTTATGTGTATTTACATAAAAAGTAAGCTTAAATTCTCAGAAGGATTGTTTATTTTTGATGTTTCATTGTGAGCTTTCCAAACAAGAGTTTACGTGGCGCTTAATTTAGAAATTCGGATATCCCATCGAAAACTTGATTCTATTAGGGACCAGTGTCACAGTTCAATGACACCGGTGAGGTAGGGCTAGTAGATGATTGATCAGGTCTCTTATCTGTGCACTGTCGTCTCGTCGGCATTTTCAAAGTACTATTGTGTATAGGTCCAATGCCTTGTGCTAATGATACCAAACATATTCTACTAAACTAGAAGGTTATTAAAAATTATTTTAAAAAACTAAAAAAAGCTCTATAATCGTGCTGAAGTGCTGTCGTCAGTTCTTTTCAGTAATTATTAAAATGGTGGTAGATTCTTTTTGTTAAAGAATGTATACTGAAATGATTTTTTGATTTTGAATCTTTGTTTGTATGTATTTAAAGAAATGTTTATTTTCCTTGTTCCAGAGTGTGCAAAAGAATATTTCAGCTAAAGATATGTAAGTAGATTCTAAATAGAATTAGTAAATTATGAAATTCTATATAGTATTACTAAATAATGTCTTCTTTTTCAGATGGGATATTGACGCTCTATTAAAAGCTATTCCCAAATTACGAGCAGTCATAGATCTAACTAACACATCGCGCTACTACGATCCAAAGGTAATTTCGTGACAGCATACAGCTCATAAAACATTGTAGTTTTCCTCATCACATACGCATATTAATCTATCCTAAATCTTAGCTAAAGCAACTTCACAGATCAGAATAACAACTTTTAGTCGTTAAGATAGCGCCTGTAATATTCTCGTCTGGCTCGGTATGTGCTAGAATACCGGGAAGCAATAAAATTATGTTGAGTTTTACGATTGAAAGTCACATTTTCTACTACGATGCTTTGTTCGTTTCTATGTCTGATTGCTGTGCATTCATCTGCTGGCATAATCCAATCGTAAACTCGGTTTTCATGAAACAACCGAGTCCTAAGTTAGGTGCAAATAAAAAGCTTGCTAACTATGATAAATTATTTCATACTTAATATATTAAAATCTTATAATTAACAAAATAATATTATTTATATGTACTTTATTTAGAATCGCTTTTATTCAATCAATACAAATACTGTAAAGTTTATTTAAAGTTCATGTAATTTACGTATGTACGAGAGAGGCATCCAATGGAGCAGTGCTTAGATTTCTGATTTTCATTACGATTGCTAATGTTATGTGTCTTACAGGCGGATGTCAATATCTTTTGCGTCTTACTTATTTAACTGTTTGATCTTTTATAATAATTTCCTAAATATTGAAACGATAATTAAGTTATATCTTGAGTGTTTCATCACTTTACTTTTCATTTAATTTACCACTAATTTTAACATTTGTTTTAAACCTTACCCATATATAATAAAGCAGAATAACTGTTTTTTATTACCAACATTAAGTTTTCATTCTGTCATACATTTTAATACTTCGCTGTTTAAGTCAAAGGTATTGTTTGTGTCTAAGCATTTTCTGGAATCAATAGAGTTACAGCTTTCAATATTTAAGTTGTAATTTTGTGTGAATGGATTGCCATGCATCTAAAAAAATTTATTAGTAATATTTTCTGTAGAATAACGTCATAGCATAGCGATTAATCAAGCAATTAGTACCTATTAACCTTTAACAAGAATATAAAGCCTGCCATGTAGCCCCGCGTAATTTATTTATGTATTCATCCCAAGAGGATGTAAGTAATACCTAACACTTTGAATCATAATAGTCGTAATTTTTAATGACAATAATTATTTCCTATTTTGGTAACTGTAACTTTATAAATAACTCTCTCCAGGCCTCTGAAAATCCTTACCTGGACAAGTTTCTCTTATTTCGGTCAATCTGAGTCCGAAGTCTGTTATGAGATTTAAGTATTGAAGATATACATATGCTTTGTCGAAACATTTATTGTTAAACGCAACCCTTATTTACAGTTTATTAAAATCTTTTTAATTCGAACCTGCTTGGCGATTGATATTAATATATCTGCAGCGTGATACTTTAAGCCATATAGCGTCAATTTGCAATGCTGTAAAGTCTTTATCACCTAATAATTATTTACATTTTCACTATTCTATCCTCTTTCATTTACCAAACTATTTTTTCCATGCATAAAGAGAATCGAAATGGACTCATGAGTTAAATAACGATTGTATTAGATAGCGAATGTTAATCAATTTAATATTTGCACTTTATTACCTTAGAAAATTTGATTAAAGCGCGTTTTTTCGTCTAAGGCTCACAACATTATTTTTTAGCCCGACAACTCTTATTTCCAAATAAAAAAAATATTCTACAGAAATAACTGTATCTACTTTTAATTAAAGCCTTTCAAGACGAGCTTGGCCTATATTCACACGTCTATTCATTGTTAGAGCCTAATTTATAAACAAGCGAGATACTTTTCTTAGAGTAGGTCCTTTTAGATTAGACTTATCGTTCATCGTGCCATGATTGTCCTGTTCTCCGATCCGTGTACTTTAGAATGTGCTCAGAAAATCCGTTGTAAAATTTATACTGATCATCCAAATATATGAATGCAATAAAATTACTAGAAATATAATTGGAGAAATATAAAGGCTTCGATATCTAAATCTTAATCTTCTAACATTCTGTCTTTGTTATTTTATCCCGCAGAAATTTGAGCATATAAGAAAGCGACGATTAATTATTTTGCTAAATACGTTGTGTTCATTAATAAATATATTTTTACCGTTTTTGCGTTATTGAAACTTTGCATTTGTTATTCATGCAATTGACGCTATAATTTTTATATTTTTTCTAATGATACATTGTCATATTGGTTTGTGATTTAAATATCAGTTCTGTGAAAATATATTGGAGAAATATAAAGAAAATGACTTTCAAATCTTAAATTGCGCCAACGATTTTAGAAGTAAATACAAACTAAATTAAAACAGAAAGTTTTACATCATTATTGTTTTTGTTGATGACAAAGTTAAAAGTTTATTAAGTTAAAGTTTTGTTGAACTTCAAGTGTTGAGAAACCTGAATATTACATGCAGATTAACGAGCATGAGACATGTCTGGCGTTTGTATCGTAGACATCGTCACTCGCCTTCGTCGCACACGCGTTGACTAGCTGTCAGCACTCTTTATATCGACAACTGTGTGGAAATGGCCGAGTTAATCTAATTACTGTCGTTTTCAAGTCAATATATATGGATTAAAAATATGTCGTCGACTTAATGTCAAATAAATATTAGAGTACTGTCAACTTTTTATAATACTATTTCTCTTAAACAGGCTTTTTGTTATAGGAGCTGCAGGAGCAAGGGATATTACATAAGAAAATTTTAATGCCAGGCCGCGAAATACCACCTAATAATAAGGTGACTGAGTAAGTTTTCTGATAAATAGAAATATTGCATTAATTGAGTGAAAGTAATATCACATACTTTTGTATTTGCAATCACAAATAGAAATAATATATATATACTTCCAACTTTTTTGTGTATTTCAAATACGAAAAAATACGAGCTTTACGCTCACATATTCTTCCGGTTGGTAGAGATGTTTAGTGTCTTATTATAACAGTATTTATTTGAAGATGTACGATCTACAATTTATGTAATTATCGTATATTATTGATCGTTATTTGTCAGACTGTTCTGGATCACAACAAAGGATTTTATAGTGCAATGTAAATCACAAAACCGTAACTATCGATCAATGTAACGAGTCTTTTTGCATCCACCGCGGATTTTAATTTGAAGCGTCAAATTGGCGCCATTCGTAGGCCGAATATGGGTAAAGTTATAAATCTTATCTGCGTAGGCGGTGTCGGCGCGCCTGAGATTCGTTCAGTATAAAGGTACTTCGGATTCGACAGAACTCTGTCACATTTAGCACGTAGCATGTATCGTCTTTAATATTGTGTAGTTATGCAAGTGAATGGGGGAAAAATTAAGAAATATTTATTTAATACCAACAATACTTATTTTTTTACATGTTTTAACGAGAAACGTCGAATTGTTTTTTTTATTTTTATTAATCGACTTCCAAAACGGAGGAGGTTCTCAATCCGTCGGAATCTTTATTTTTTATGTATGTTCACCGATTACTCGAAGACGCCTGGAACGATTTGCAATTTTTTTTTGATGGGTATACTTCCCAGGTCCCATTTAAATTTTATCGAAATAGGTCGAGCGGTTTTTAAAAAAATCAACAATAAATTTTTTTTTTAATAAATTACTTAAATCGAATCTGTTATCAAAAAATTTTCTCCTTACAAATTACTTGCTTATTAAGTTTACACTAAAAATGGAAAAATAAAAACTAAAAAAAATAAATAAAAACAGTCTTCAAAGAACTAAAATGTAAAAAATAGCTTAACAGAGGTTTTAATTTAGAATAGATACCTAATCAGATATTTTCGAAGTCGGTGCCAACTGCCAGCCGGAACTGGTTTAAAAAAAACGGTTTATTTCGGTGTATGTAATGGTTAATTCATCATTCGTTCTTTAACCGGTTAATGAAAACGAATGGCTTAGTAAACAGAACTAATAATAATTAACGGTTATTCTAAGAGAAAAGTTGAATTTCGGTTTTGATACCGAAATAAACCGGTTATTCATTTTTAACTAAGAAGCGTGCTAAGCCATTCACCGTAAGCCAGACACGCCAAATGTAAACACACAAAAACTCATTTTAACCGGTTAATTTTGTTCATGGAACCTAAATCCATCAAAAACCGTTCTTCGGGATTTAACTGGTTAAAGAACTTAACCGAAAGCTTAAACCGAAAAGCCTTTCGGTTTGGGGTCAATAACCAAAACGGGAAAAAAATGAATGTGTTTCCGAGCCCTGCCTATAGCTAATACCAATCCCCGATTATTAATTTAGCCAAAACCAATTTTTATTTAAAAAAAAAAATTAAAATATTTAACTGTTTCGTCAATTAAGCGTCAATATCATAAATGCTGATTTTTAAGTCAACTCGACCCTGATAATATTTTTGCCCTTTCAGGAGATGAATTTGGAATAATCTGATTGATAGCATGTATTGTTATTTTTTTATCTCGAATACTTAATTTTAACAATAAAAATAGCGGATTTTCTCCCTAAATTTAACACCCATTTTACCCCCTTACGGGATGAATTAGAAAAATGTTATATCACGTGTTTATTTAATTGAATTGAAGGTCATTAATACCAAGTTTCATAGAAACTTTCATCCCTATTTTACTCCCTTAAAGAATGAATTTTCATAAAAAAGTGATACTGTAAACTTTTTTCTGCTGCTTATATAATTTTTACATTAGTAATATCAAACATGACGAAGTTTCATACAAACTTTCATTCCCTATTTTAAACCCCTTAGGGGATGAATTCTCAAAAATCCCTTCTTAGTGCATACTTACCTTATTTACGGAACATTTGTGCAAAATTTCCATTTGCAATCAATCAGCCAGTCAGTTGCGTATTTTATATATATATATATATATATTATATATGTGTTTCTATACATGTAATAAAATTGTAACTAAGCCGAATCTGTACATTAAATATTTTTTGGAAAATCTTATTGAAATAGACATTATTATCGATACAGAGGCCGAATCTATAGTTTTTAGAATTTTTGTCTGTCTGTCTGTCTGTTACCGCATCACAGAAAAACCACTGGAGATATTTTGATGAGATTTGGTATTCCGGGTCAACATATAGGATACATTTTACCGCGGGAAAATATCTCATTTTTGAGGAAAAGTACAAAAACTGCATTGCAAGAGTATACTAATATGTAAAACCTAAGAATCTGCTTTTTGGTCATCTGAACGCGAGCGGAGCCGCGGGCAATGCTAGTACATATATATATAAGATAGATACATATGTCCCGTTGCATCGGGACGCTAGTACTAGTGTACGTACGCGCCTTCTGCCGCCCACGCGCAAATGATACCCCTTTTGGAATTTGAAAGGCATTTGATGCTGCCCCATTCCTCAGTGCGTGTCAATTCATTCTTTGCTTATTCTAATCTAGAAAACTCATTTTCTTTCTTAGGTACTTCCATTGTGTTTGTTCTGAATAATATGTAATACAGTAACTGCTGCCATTTAAATTATATTTATTAACCAACTTCCAAAAAGGAGGAGGTTCTCAATTCGCCGGAATCGTTGGGTTTTTTATGTATGTTCACCGAATACTCGAAGACGCCTGAATCGATTTGGAAATATTTTGTTGTTTTTAAGGGTATACTTCCCAGGTGGTCCCATTTAAATTTTATCGAAATCGGTTGAGCGGTTTTTAAAAAAATCTAGAAATAGATTATTTTTTAAAATAAATTTTTTAATCGAATATGTTATTAAAAAACTTTCTTCTTACAAATTACCTGCTTATTACGTCTACACTAAAAATGGAAACATAAAAACTTAAAAAAAACCGACTTCCAGGCACTAAAATGTAAAAAATAACCAAATGGGGGTTTTGATTTAGAATAGATACCTAATCAGACATTTTCGAAGTCGGTGCCAGCCGATGCAAAGCAAAACTAATATATTTCGATACCTAAAATACATCACAAATTAATGTATAATATTTTAACTATAATTAGAGTTCATACCAAATCATATTTACCTATTAGATATTCATATCTTAAAATATTGTCGGCTAAGCTAATAAGCGTAACTTTTGCTTTATCAAAACGTTTTAAAATAACAGTAAATTCACGGATATTATTTTAACATTGTAACACCTTATCCATTTTAATCCCTCTTTATGGCATTAAAACGTACATATTTAATATATTTAAACATTGAAAGGGCACGAGATTAGAAACAATACGTTCATTCATATCATATTAATCAGATTATTATCACCTGCCTAAACTAAGAGTTTTAACGGAGATTATCTTGGCCATTTGTTTAGTCTTTTGTTATATGGTACGCGACGACGTTGCCCGCTTCGCCATAAATAACCATCGGCATTTCTTAGATACTTCGTCCCTGTTATCGCGCCAGTGCCTCGCATCCGTTTGTCAGTTAAGGATGGACAAATGTGCCACCCGTAAAGCTACTTCGATTAATGACAAACTGCTTCGAAAAATGTCATAATCATATAAGTTTTTTTTTTGTAAATTTATCGTTTGTTGTCGTTTTTTATATATTTATATTATTTAAAATGTTGGTTAATAGATTCGAACTGATAGGCTTTATATATTAATTGTTAAATGACTCTTTCATGAATTACATTCATTTTATGCAGAGTTAGTAGAAGACTAATCAGATATAGAAGACAAAAAAAAACGTACATATATTTATATGCATTACTACCAAGAACTGGATAATATAGTACATACTGTTTTCAGAAATTTTTAGTATATGCACTGTAAGCAAAGCAATAAAAATGTGAAATTTGCGATTTAGGTCACGTCATAAATCACGAATAATTAAGGTTAAAAAACTTCATTACGCGCTAAAAGTATCCTGGTGAGACGTCCGAGCTGACCTCTCACTGCACAAGACGAAGATGATCAGGCGCACGCTCGTAATGATGCTCGCGTGCCTCGACCGTTTGTCCATTTATCACGGCTATATTTTTACTTGTTTTCCATGTCGACTGTCCACAATCATGTCGTCATTACAAACCAACCCGTGTACCAACAATCGTGCCGCCTATAAATTGTGACCACCGTTGAAGTACGGATTGTCAGATTAATAGATTTTTATGGTTCAAGACTTAAAGGGATTTCCGAGGATTTCTCTCCGTTTATTTACGTGATGCTAATGAATACTTATTGCCTTCGGTTTTTTATGCGTTTTCAATTCACACGTAAATGCGATGCCGGATGTACGGTATAAAATCATCGATATTTTCGAATTGTGATCGAAGGTACCGGCTATAACTATCGATTGTTTCAATATTTATATAATGGATACCGTATCATCTGCACACGCCAAATCCGCATTTAAGCTTTTTTGAATATATTTTGTTTGTGATCCTATTAGCGCGTGATTGAGAGTTTTCTCGAGACAATTTGATAGGATTAAGTCAGTTCCTATTTTTAGTATTCGACGGGAAAACCATAAAAATGTATTGAATTTGGGCAAATAGCCTAGTAGCTACTAGAATCTACCAATTTCAAAGAAGATATAGCTAAAACTTTGGATTTGCTGAACAGATTATATTATAGCCGAATTTGATTTCATTTTCATCATTTGAGTATTTAATAATTTTATAAAAAAAATATATTGTTGTCATACACATGGTGATCAAATTATTTAGAGTTTTTTTTAAGTGCTATAAAGAATATTTTTTTTAATATAATATTATTTATTTGTATTGAACGGTTCCATCATAGAGGCCATGACCCTTATAGGCACTACAAGAAAAAAAATATA